CTTATGCCACAGAAAAGCGTGCCGTAAATGTGAACTTATGCCATACAGTGCTTTAAATAATCTTTTTACCCGTGGAAATCTATCTAAATCCGATATATTGTCGTTTGGTGGCTCTGCCAAATTTACTTTGAATTCCAAATTCCAGTACAAAAAAGATTTTGAATGAAAGATCAAAATCATTCCTGATTACAATTAATGTGTAATGAAACAAAAATTCGATTCTGAACCACAAGTAATGAGAATGAAACAATCATTTTAATTCCCACTACAATTAATTGAGAATGAAAAATAATTTCTATTACAATTTTCTTCCATAATGGACTTTGTAATGCTGAAATTAAAAATTCTGCAACCCTGAAACACAGACAGATGCGCGATATCGATGATATCGAAGGGTCAGATCGGTAAAGACAAACTTATTGCGAGATTTATGCGAGGTAGTATTATAATCTTTACCACATTCGCAGTTTGAATCTTGAACGATATTTTTGCGCAAAAGACTAGATTTTAATGAGGAGTGATTACTCCTTAATCTATTAATACGAACAATAGTCTTCCTCGACAGACCGAGACCAGCAAACCATGACTTATTCTGTTTTATATAAAAGTATTCAAAATAAAATGATCCTTTGAAATTACTTAATTCAAGACACATATCATTACTTTCATTTAAACACACTTGTTTAAAGTTACTGACCAGGTCAGTCACTGCTATCGGTCTGTCGAGCAAAGAACCGTCTCTAGCTGCTGTTTTGGCTAGTAGATCAGCTTCTTCATTGCCATGAATCCCCATATGTGAAGGAATCCACGCAAGGGATATTTTTATATTAAGTCTAAAAGCTAAAGCTAGTTTATGTCTTAACATATATATTAATACAGATTCCGAAAAAAAAGGCTAACTGCTTTTAACACACTTTCTGAATCAGAAAAAATAGTATAGTTGCCTTGTTTCTTTTCGATAATTTTTTCTATAACTAAAATTAAAGCATAACACTCTGCAGTAAAGATCGAAGCTGAGTATGCTAATTTACATACGAAATTCTTGAGAGAAGCTCCAAGATGCAAGGCCTACACACGCTTGATTATTGACAAACATTTTAGATCCATCAGTGAATATATACGTGTTGTTTACTTTGTCTGGAGGATAAATATCGTTAAATTTTTTGTCTGGTTTAGTATCTTTTGAAATTTGTTTACCAACTGTTAACGTGACTATAGATGTTGTTTTCATAGTTATTGATATATTTAATATGTTTGTTTGAATGAAAAATTAAATCTTAAAGGAACCAGATATTTAAGTAACATTCCATTGTCAAAGGTGGAGAAAAATTATGAGAGTATCTAAAATTTTCACTTAATTCAACTAATTTTTCGAGATTGTTCAATAAAAGCGATTGGTCATTAGCCAAGCATCTTAAGAGAAATTTGTAGCAGACCAGCTTCAATCTACACTTTAAGTATGGGATTTTTGATTCAGTAGTCATGACATTGATGGGAGTGCTATTCCTATAACCCATAGCAAGTCTTATTCCAATGTTCTGTACCTTCTGAAGTTTATCAATAATTTTAGAATCACTAGGAAACATTAAAAATCCGCCATACTCAATTTTAGACCGGATTAATGATTTGTACAATGTTAGTAGTGTCTCGGGGTTCGCTCCCCACTACGTAGATCTTAGAAAACTTGGAATTTTTAAACTATTTTTACATCTTACAACTAGATTATCGGTGTGATGGTTCCACTTCAAGTGGGAATCAAGTATCATTCCCAAAAACCTAGTTTTGACAGAAGGCTCAATTAACTTGTCATTGACTTGAATAGATACATTTTTGGAAAAATTTGCCTTATCAAAAATAATGAGTACATACTTCTCCGGAGCGACCTCCAAACCTCTTTTCTTCAAGTGGACTAGAAGTTTTGAATTCTCTTCTTTGAGCTGCTTTACTTGCTCCTCATATATCACTGGTTTACTATTATATATCACAATGTCATCACCAAACTGAAGCATAGATACTGAATTGTTAAGATCTCTGTCGATGTTCCTTGTATAAATAGAGTAAAGAATCGGACTCAAAACGCTTCCTTGAGGTAGCCCTTTATCGACTTTTTTCTCTAAAATTTCTGTCAAAGTACAAAATGTAACTTTCCTTTCGTATATTACATTTTTGATAAATGTTATAATTTTTTTAGGGAGGTTCAGTTCAATTAAGTCATCGATCAAGATATCAGGTACCACGTTATCGAAGGCTCCCTTGATATCGAGAAATAATGCTGATACTGTGTCCTTAGTATAAAAATTTTTCTGGATGTCTGATACTAAAATATTAAGATTGTCAATGCAGGACTTATTTTTCCGAAATCCAAATTGCGTTTCTGATAGAATGTCATTCTTTTCGAGCCACCGTTGTAATCTTCCTTTTATTAGCTTTTCTAAAATTTTTAAGATGCACGAGGCAAACGGTATTGGACGAACCTTGTCAGAATTGCCTTTAGGTATAAAGAGAACTAAATAGTTATTCCAATCTGGAGGAAAGTACTGACTGTTATAAATGTCGGTGAGTAGATCCAGTAAGACTCTTTGAAAAAATTCAGGTAGCATGCATATAATTTCGTAGCTGATTCCGTCGAGGCCCGGAGACGATTTCAGGTTAATATTGCTCAGAACAAATTGGAACTCTTCATATGAGAATAAATCACACAATACTTCATGATCGTGTGTATTATTATGATTGCCATCCATAATACTTAAGCTATGCAGAGCATTCGTGGAAATGGATTTTGGAGAAGTGAGTTTGGTAATAGTTTCCTGCATATTTTTATCTAGTTTTGTTGCGTTTGAGTCAGTTTCTCTAAAACTATTGTTGAACCTTTTGATTGTTTTCCAAACTCCACTGGTTTTAGTTCTAGGAAATATTTTGCTACAAAAGGATTGGAACGATGCTTTTCTTCACGCAATGTTCTGGTGACACACGCATCAAGTCTTTTGACTTCAATAAACTTCTCAATTGTGAATCTATATTTAATAAATTTAAATGCTGCTTTCCTCTAGCGAACGACTTTATCACAGGATTCATTCCACCAAATACAATTGGATTTGTTGTTTCTGCACATGCCTTTTAACTTGATTTTTGAGTTATGTTGAACATTGTTGTTGATTCGTAGAGTATCAGTAATTGCTTCGTGGAGAAAGTTGACAAATAGTTCATATTTGAGAGGTAAAATCTGATTTGTATATTGAAGACTGTTGAAAAAAGCTTTGTTTTGATCAAGAATCTGATAGAATTGGTCCCAATTCATTTTGCGCAAATTATATCTATATTGTACTCTATGTTGAAATTGGAGCTTATCATTCATTTCAATTACAATGGGATAATGGTCACTCTTCCAGCTATCATCCAAGGTCTTCCATGCACATTTAGAAAAAAGATTTGGAGAGCAAAAAGTCAAATCGATACATGATTCGGAGAAACCCTGGTAAGATAAGCTAAAGTGCGTTGGACTTCTGTCGTTGAGTAAAATGATGTTATCCGGATCCAAATTGTCTGAGATGATGTTACCATTTTCACAGGCCTTGTCGCTACCCCATAAAGGGTGATGAGCATTGAAGTCGCCACCTAATATAAAATATTTAGTGTCATGATTAACAATTGCTCTTATTAAATTGTTCCATGTATTTATAGTAAGATTGTAATCTTGGTTATTTATGCGTTGTGTTCTGTAGCATGCTTTTAATAAGAGTTTGTCAGAACTTAGATGAATAACAACCGAACCTATTTCCAAAATAGGACTTGAGAAGTTGATTTTCGTATTTTCATAGAAAAGGTTGTTCCTGATGCAAATAGCCAAACCGCCTCCATTGCCAGTTTAACGGTCAAACCTAACAACATTAAAGCCTTTTAAATTGAAGGATTTAGTGTCCTGTAGCCAAGTTTCAATTAGTACAACAACATCATAATTATCAGCTTCCTTGTGTAGAATCAACTTTTGCTGCTGTTGCTGCTGTTGCAGCTGTTGTTGTTGATGATGCTGCAGTTGTTGCTGCTTTTGTTGTTTCTGTTGCAGAGTCATATTTATTTCTGTCAAATTGTTTTTGGCAGGAGAGACTGAATCTTTCAAGATATTACTGTAACTAACAGTAGGTCTATAAGCTGATCTAGAATTGTTTATACATGGAAAGTGTTCTATGGTAGGTGCAGGACTAGATTTGCTGCCAAATATTTTTTGTTTGGCTTCAAAATATGATAAGTTTTCATATGCCATTAAGTAATTAACGGCCTCATGTTTCTTAAAAATGGGGCAATCTTTACTGGTTGCTTTGTGATTGCCTTTACAGTTGAGACATCTAGGACAAGTAACTTGACATATGTGATCCGTATGCTTTTCCTCATCACACTCAGGGCAGTGTGGTTTGCCACGACAGAACTTGGCGATGTGAGCAAATTTATAACACTTCAAGCACTGCACTGTTTTCTTAAAAAATGGACTAACATTTGTTAAAACATGGTATAGAGAAACAGCATTAGGCAGAGTGTCACCTTCAAAATACACAAGTACAGAGGTAGTAGGTATCCATTGACTATTTCCTTGTAAGTTGTCCTTTTCATTACTCTTTTTATTTAATCTGGTTACGTGGCTGATAGCTATATCACTTTTTAAGGAACTTTTAAGTTCCACCTCAGACAGGTCTGTAGGTATGTTCCTGATGACACCTCTACGGGACTGTTTGTTACTGGGTATTAGACCGGGTCGTTTTTGCAAAAATTTTTTGTATCGCCTGGGCTCATGGCTGAGCTAAAAGTTCAAGGTTTCTCTTTACTAACAGGTAAGTTCGTACGATCTTAAATCGCCTGTTATATCTTAACATCATGACTGCTCTGGGACGATGATTAATTTACTATTTCACTTTATGGAAAGAGATTCATCATTGTTACGATATTGCAATTTAAAATATGATGCGAGCATTTTCAGCGACAAATTAAATTATTTTGGATAAGCATACCTTTTATTAATGTTCGTGGCCATTCTGTGAGATTCTGATGATAATTGATTTATTGAAAACTCATTCAAGTTGTAAAGTTGATTATTATGAATATCTTCTTGAAAAGGTTCGCTTATTAATAAATAATTACACTTTTTCAAAATTAAAAGTTTGATTGAAGTTTGACCATCACCATTGAGCGTTTTACCCAAATCACTTTTTGATTTTGAATAATTTGAATTAATATTGTGTTCAGAACTCGGGAATTCATCTAATTGCTCCATTAAGATTTTTTTATCTGCAAAAAATTCATCTTGTTATATGTGAAATTATGATTGTGTTTTTAATTACTAATGACTAATGACTAATGACTAATGACCAAATTTTTTGCTTTGTGCACTATTAAGTTTAAATTTGGGTTGAGTTGCAATTATCATCTTAAAAGGACAAGATGGTACGTCAAACTGATATTTGAAAATGTCCATATAAATCGAAGTAATCTAAAATATTTTCTCTTGATAGTAGAATTTGATCATATTACACCTGATCAACCAAAAAAAGAACTCCTACCAAAGCTTGGAAATCCTTATTACATTACTTTTTTATAATATTAAATATTGTAATTGGATTCACTAGCCACGCGATTCTGACATTAGTTTATAATCAAGATAAATCTATAGGGTTTCAAAATCTTTAAAAAGTACCCTCTTCCACTTAGCTACAATTTGGCGTTTAGGGTTGATAAAATATTGATTTTCTTGAAATTTGTCGTATTTTGACGAGTACACTATCCGTGGACTAATTTTGTCCATTGGAACACGATCTCGGTCGGTGCAGAACATGTATGAACATACGACATTCCGTGATTCAGTGGACAAAACTAGTCCACGGACAGTGAACATAAAGTTGTAGACAAATGTTCATAATTCTGCTCCACTAAGGTGAAAAAGGGTATCATTCTGATAATTTGGAGGTTACATTGGATTAAATTGATGACGAACTCATTTTAAGATCGGGTTGCAAGTGATAACATAGTTCATCGGGTGTAGTATGAAAATATTTTACTATAAAAGAAATGAATTTAAACTATCTCAATCGATATGGCCGCTCATATGAGGTCTATGAACTCTAAACACCGTATCGTTTCCTTAAATACTCACGAAAAATGTTTACATTCGTTTAGAAATAATTTCAAAAAATGCTGCATATAATGCGATGTTTGTTTTGAAAATTTACTGTATTGTTATATCCGAAAAACGAGTCGCATCGCGCTGTTTCTCGACCACAAATTTTTCGATGTAACGTTTCTGTAGACATAGTAATATGACAATTCCCTTGCGACAAAAAGAGTAATAAAAAGAATGATGTAATTTAAGGGTTATCATACCACGCGCTAGTCACGGGATAGCTAACGCGAATTTGGGTATTCTTCCAATATCGCTCAACTGTAATTTGGGATTCAAAAATTATTATATTTATAGTGCGCATCTTTGTAATATTTAGCTTTCTCTGATAGACGCACTAACATCTTGCAGTCTTCACGGGCTAACACCTTATTGTAGTTTTTGTAACTGAGCTATTGCTAATCAAATCGCGTAGTACATTATAACTAAAAGTGTAAGAAAAATATAATATCCATTTCATATGTGCAAACTCTATAATAAAAGTCTTGTATCAAACCTTAAACGTGTCTTTGAGAATTTTTGGGCAGTTAGAATAAGATAAGTGCATGGTTATTATCTAACAAATAGTCACAACGTAACAGTATTACGATTTCTATTAAGGACAGTCCTAAAGCCATTCTCGACTTGATTTGATTCGAATCTTTTCAATTTCAATTTTTTTACAATTTGACAAGCTGACATCTAGACCTTGAATTTGATCACTAAAGTTCAGAGGCGTTCTACATAGCTTCACGGCTAAACAAGCTGCCACACTCGGTCTTGACCTGTACAGCAAGCTATACTCCTCTAAAGTGACTTGTATTTTCTCTTTTATTAATAAAACCTATTATAGAACTAAGTTCTATTGCACATTCGTAATCCTAAGACATGAAAAATTGGTGACAAAGATAAATCAGTTTTGGCTCCCAAACGCCGGCCAATTACAGCGCACGAAACAAACAGACACTACTGAGACTTTTAAGTACTTTCGTAGTGCGTACGTTTGGACGATTTTTATGATATTATTCCTTGCATCTTTTGATCTCATAAAGTGATACGTCAAACTGTCCGCCATATTGCAAAAAATGTTTCAGAAGCGGAAATCAACTAAAAGCGTGGTATTTGAAATTGAAAAATAAAACGACTTGATTTCTTTTTGAACAAAAATGAATTTTCACAATTCAACTTTTTTAAAATATATTTTAAAGGGTTTTGAACAGTCAGATTGAATATAATTCAATGCAATTTATTATAATTATTATTAAATGCTCGAAGATGAATTTTTAAACTAAAAATAATACATGTATTATAAATTCCCGGAGTGATTCCGAAAAAAATGACTTAATATCAGTTTTTAGATGGAAAATTTTGTGAGAATGTATATTCTGAATTTTTGAAAGATGAAAAACTTCATATCTTGGTTGGCTGGCTCCATGTCCTATGTCACATAATGTACTTTAAGTCTAATATTTTCTACTTTAAAAATGATTTCGTCACTAATTGTTTTAAAGACACGCCTGTCGACAGAACCAAGAGTGAAATCGAATCATATTATTTACTTTCATGGGGCTTCGAGGCCATCCAACATTATGACAAGTGCATGAGTTGAAGTTTGATTTTGGTTGTGTTCTGGCAAAGTAACAAAAACAATACTCCAAAAATATAAAACAATACTACAAAACAATAGTAATACTCATCTCTAAAACAAGTACAATTCATATGAAAATTTTAAAAAATATTTCAAGAATGACACATCCTGGATTGAAGTTTAAATTCTCCATTTTTCTTACAAATGTCCTAAAACAAGAAAAGGGGCAATTCAATTTCAAATTCTTCTCATATCCAGACACACACTGGATATGAAAAGCACATAGATTTGCATCACAAGCAAATCTCAATTTTTAAGCTTTCAATAAAGTATCAAAGCCCCATTTAGGAACTTTCTTGTAGCCTCTCATTTGGAAATATCTCATTTGGTCCTCTTGAAAAATTTTCTTAAGCGATGATTCCTATAGATCTAGTGTACTTACTTCAAGTTTTTCTAAAAGTCTTCGTACTTGCTGTTTGGTAAAATTAAAATTTTTCTGCATTGTGTGAAAATAGTGTTCGCTATGCAGATACTGTTTGTTCTTTTTTTTCAAATAAATTTGCTAATGCTTTAATTTTTTTTTCAATGCTCAGATTTTTTTCACAGTTCTGTTTTATAACAGGTAAAGTTGTTGGTGAGTTGGTGACATATTTTTGAGAAGTGCCTTTAGACAAATGTACAGAAGTAGGCGAACGACGCAGAATCATCTTACAAAGATCTTGAACCAACTGATTATTTTTTTGATTCCAAATTCGGTAAATTTGATCAATGTTAAAAGTATTCTATACAAAGAGTGAAAAAATGATCAGTCCGACCAACATAAAAGGCAACAATTTCTAAGTTATGACAAAACATTAGAAAAATTGCTAAGATCTGCTAAGAATAGATACGAAAGGAATAAAATAAGGAAAAGAATAAATAATAATAATGAAGACTTAAAATTAATGTGGCAGTTTGGCACTCGGTTCACCAGAGTCACCAAGACCCAAGCGACGTGTGCTTTTCTCGGATTACCGGAGAACACGCACGTCTCTTGGACTTCCAGAGAGATTTGAAAACTCTACGAGTTGTTGACAGATTGTTGGATTGGTTAGGAACTTCCTTGACTTAACAAAGAACTTATGTTCAACCAGCTAACAATTTATTTTTATTTTCCATCACCTTCCTAAACTTTTCACTTCGGCCGCTAGGTGGCCACGGAGCGAGGATTATGCCCCCTCAAGCGATAGGACTGCGCCAGCGCTTAAGATTCAGACAGATCTACCTATTCGAGATTCCCCTCTCACCCGAGAGGAGCTGACAGCCAAGCTTGGAACTTCAATTCGGCTCGAACCCCGAAACTTGGAAACCCAGCCTCGCTTGGAAGCGCTCTCGAGTCAGACGATGTGCCGCGCTAAAGTTGCCTTCTTCAAAGCTACTGACAATGGTATTTTTAACGCTCCATCACTTAGGCCACAAACATATCAATTCGCGGCCCAACGTGTGGCCTTTAAGTACGAAGACTCGTACTATGAATCTGCTCTAATGCAATGCCAGTCGAGCGAACTACTCCACCTCGAGCTCGCTAGAACTCGAATATCTCCACTTCTAAGAGTGGAAAATCACCCAGTGGCATCCATACCCCCATGAAGACGAAGGAAACCCCCCACTAACACAAATAAATGAAAGGGAAGATTCCTCACCATTACCAGTTGTCAGTTTATTGCCGTGATCATGAATCGCTTTGAAATGAGGTGGTTTTGCCATCAGATTGACGGTTAATGTATGGATTCGCTCAGGAAAAAAATCCATGTAACGAATTTCGTTATCCTGTTTTAGTGTTTTTATATAGTGTATATAGTCCCCGATGCTGCTGCCCTGTATGACAATTGATGTGCCAGATCGGCTGACTAGCCAGGCCTCATCTGTTTTGGTTTAAATGTGTGAGTGTGTATTAATAAATCGTTCAATTTATACTATACGAGTGATTCATTATTTCCAGCGCTTTTTCTCTAGTCCTTTTTTTTCACGCAGCTAGTCCAAGACCTCGGAGAAGTCCACCTTTGGATATGACACAGACAGTCCATTTATTGGGTCCGACCATGTCTCGCGTGTGTTACGTGGGATGTTACATATACGCACGGTGGGCATGTCATGCATAAGCATGACCGAACTTGCTCAGATCTATTTGCACCTGGGACATCGGTCCATTATAATTCGATCATAACAGCAGTACGGGTATTAGAAGGGACTGTTATCATATGCTCTCGAAGTGGAGGAGCAGCTCATACAATTGAAATCGAACTTTACTGGAGTTTATTTAATTGTTCAATTCTTAGAATTGTTCGAAGGGTGCCATCACATTTTTTTAGAATTTAATAACGAGACAATTTTTCAATTTCCGAAAAATATGGAAAATTAGGTTTCCTAAAATCACTTCCGAAAATTCTGTAAACTTTTAAGCATGTTCCTTAATCAATTCTCAGACTTTCATGTCAAAACTTTTTCTTTAAGCTTAATATTTGCCAGGAAAAATAAGTACCAATAATTCTTTCAATGTTTTGTGTAATTATAAACAACGCCATTGGTAAGAACATCTTTGAAAATATAAGTTTTCATAATTTTTCTCATTTCGATTGAGATATGGTAAAAACGGAAATTTAAATGTAAATATCGCGTCCTTTGTACACAAGTTAGTTAAGATGTCCGGAAAAATTGATTGACTTGCTTATGTCAGTAAATTTTTTTTTAAAATTAAGTTAGAACTAACTTGAAAGCATTCAAATTGAAAATGTTTTTCGTTGATGTATTAGGAGTGGAAGATAAATTATAGTTTTAAGTAAATTGATTATATTTTTAAATAGTTATATATAGGAACATGCCCAATGATAGGAACATATTCTTCATTTATATGGTCAATTGTATATGAAATTCCAATGAAAACTTTCTGATTCATCTGTCGATTCAGCGTCGGTTCATTTATAGATCTATTTAACTGATGTATAAACATTTGAATATACAAATGCTAAAGATTAAAAAATAGGAATATGTACATAGAATTCAGATATTTAAGAATCTTAATAAATCATTTACATTCAATTATTGTGTAATTTAGTAGAAAATTGTATATTTTTTAGTTCTTTTTATTTTCAAATAACAATCAAGTATAAAAAACAATCTTAACGTTTATTCTTATGTTGATATTGTATTGAGAAATTTTTGCTTTCAAACCTAGGTTATCTTGATTTTCTCTAGTCTTCTTTCATCTTTTCTTATTTTTATAGAAATTAAAATTATGATCCCAGGACGGCATGGATACTTATAATTTTTATAATATTTAACATGATTATTAATATGATCTTAATCGACTTCATAATAAGTTTAAAAAATATTTTAAGCATACAATAATGAACGAGAATTGAATTTTTTATTTCTAGCAACAAAAAAGAACTTTAACGTTCAACTAATTTATTAATCTTATTTAATAAGCAACATGATTTCAATTTGTTTTTGAAATTATAAAATGTGTTTTTCAATCGTTTCCATTCGTGTAAAAATATCTGTATTCAAAATGTTTTTCTATTCACTGAAAACTGCTTGTGTAAATGTTTCATTGCTTTTTTATAATTCTTATTACTAACCTAATGTAGATAAAGCAATAAAGAAGAGCAAATTAAAATAATTTCGCATTTTTTTGGCAAAGTATCAAGTATCACTTAATTTCAAAGAAGAACGTCACGACTTTGTTAACAGTTGTGTTCATAAACTGAGTAGAATGAAAATAAACCCTAAAGGATAAGTATTTCTGTCGAAAATACTATTTTGATTCAACTTGTAATTGTTATAAAACATAGCAAAATTACGAAAATTTTAAAGATGAATCAGGAGCATAAAATAAATACGTCTTATTTATATGTAGTTTATATTTTTGAACAACTTTAAATTGTCCAGTAAAAAAGATTGGACATATCCTAAAAAAATTAAATTTAACTGTTACCACAAATAAAAATATTATTGCTCGTCTATCGATGAAAATTAAAATTATGAAGTACATGAGCAATGTCCAATGGAATAATTTACTACTACTTAGTCATTTCGATAAAACACTTTAAACAAATGTAATTAATCAACAAATACTCTTTTTACATGTTTGGTTACTTTTATTCTTCTTTTTTCTAAAATGTGTAATACAATTACAAACTGAAGGAAGAACTTCTACTTCACATTTAATAGAATTTTAGCCATAATAATGGTGTTTTACAAATCATATATACTTGAAACTGTTATAATGTGAAAAGTTATTGAAAATTTTTTCCCTAAAACCTAAAAATTTAATTTATTTAATGAAAAATCTGAAAACGTGGGTACTTATTTATTTGCCTACAGCCCTGAAACGTCGATAAAGAGACAAGTCAGTTCATGGATAGCTCTGCTACGAAGTCGTTTACTTGATAGAGTTTTCATCAATTTTCTCAAATTTAAAAAATTTCATACTAGTGACTGAAAAATGATTTCAAGATTAATGGTTAAATGCTAGATATAATTTTATTTATTTTTACGATCTAATGTTTCAAGAAAGAAAATTTAAAAATTTTAAATTACATTTTACTTATAGGAATAATATGTACTCCAAATGGTATGATTATATATTTGCTTAAAATTTAATAAGTGCATAGAATTTAAGTTTAATATTATCAAAATAATCATTTTTGAATTTTAATATTTCTATAATTGTAATCATCACAAGATTAATAATGGCTAATACCATGCTATTTTGACTTGAAGTTGATTAAAAATCTATTTATGCATATACACATATACGTTGATAAACAATTTATAAATAAAAAATTCAGATGTCTTAATTGACAATTAGGAATATGAAATTTCCAATTTGTTGATCTTATTTGTTAGAATTTCATGTTTTTCATGTTTATTTCTGTTTTAGTAATTTAGTTTTCTAGTATAGATTTTTTTTTCATCATGTCTACGTCAAACTTGTATAATTTTGCAAAAAATTTGTAAACAAATTTTCTATTTTTTGGATAAATTTATACCATTTTACGTGAATTTTAAGAAAACATTAATTAGTGTGAATGGTGTATTTCATAAATGTTTCAATACATATATCACGTGCGCCATATTATATATAAAAAAAGACTATAATTTTATTAAATTTTTAGATGATAAATCGTTGTGTTCAATTTTGGTTTGAACCAGATTCTCAATATTATTATTCCAACACTCGATCATTTAATCAATGGAATAAATGTAGGAAAAAGCATTTCATCAACTAGTTATAAATTTAATGAATTGGTTTTTGTGATATATTTTTTTCATATGATTAATTATTAATTAATGGAGTTTTTATCTAAAAAATTAGATAAATCATTCAGAATAAATAATCGCCAAATAATAATTACTTGGTTAAAGTGGTACACTCGTTTGTCGTTTTTTGTTATCGAAATGAGTTGAAATTCACAATTGGTATTCCTAAATGATGTGCTCACATAATAAGGTTTTTATTATGATATAGAATATTGCTATTAATCCAGTAAATATGGGCAATCGTTACATATTGGGATGCACTTTTATCGCGTCGCGAGCTTTCTAAGCGAGCGTGCGTCAGCATACGCGTTTCAAAGTGTTGACGCGAATGAATTAATGATTCACGTGTCCCTCTACTCCAACCCAATAAATTAATACCGAAGCGAGAGTGATTTTTTTAGTCTAATGAATTCGTCACGGGATAGGTGATTGCATGCGAATTAACAGTGAATATAAGTGTAGTTTTAAGAATCAAATAACGGTTTATTGCATCATCTATGGACTGAACAAATTTAAATGCGATAAACAGTACTCATTTAATAGATCATGACTTTATAGATATTTCTTGAAATAGTAGTAGCTAGCTTACTTACTACTTCGGATTACGAAGCTTGGTCAGCCTTGCTTTTCTACTACTAACAGGACTTTATCTTCAGAGTCGGAGTCGACTGGTTTACAGCTGCTCCTGGGGACCCGGTTGCGCTTGGTTTTTGGTCCCTGCACAGGAATTTTGATAGAGAACTCGCGAGTATGGGTTACCCGAAAATGAATGATGTGCGTTCACTCTGACTCTCCCTTGCATTGAGCAGGGATGAAGTCAAACATAGTTTGAGACAGAGTGAATGTGCGAGAGCTTCTAACGGCGCTTAAATAATTTCTAAGACCTGATAAGGAAGCTCTTGCGATTGATGAGGTGCAGTCTAGTGGAAACGGGCTCCAAGCTAGGCAGGGAGTAGTGGCGTCGCTACTCACATTGGCTTCGGATTCTCGGTACTTTGAATCTGGTCACACGAATCCACGAACAATGCTTAAGCTCTGCTCGTTCACTCGCGCTGCGATATGCACTCACGATTGTTTTGCAGACACAAATTCACGATTCACGATTGGCTGTTCGATCTCATACACGAAACGGAAACTCTCATGCCGCGTACTCGATCCCGATCTCGATTCTATGGCAATTCACACGTCGCGAGTGAATATTGGTTCACGTGAATCGATAAGTAATCGATAAGTAAGTAAAATAGAATGAACAATCTAAGTTGAGATAACAACAACTAAAAATTGCTAAGGCGAATTTGACTATTCGTAATTGAAAGGTTACAATAAAACTAAACGCGCTGGGCTTCGAACTCACATTTCTACCTTACGCGTCAGCCAATGTGAGGGAGTGATGAGTGAGAGTTGTGACTGCTTTGTCACATGAGCTACGTCGCGAGAGTGGTGACATCGAGAGCTCACACTATTGCGCGGCTTTCTCTCCTTTGTGTCTCTCTTTCTCGCTCGCTGCGTCCACGGACTAATCTTGCGAACGAAAATTGTTTGTGTGGTTGCAATATTTTATCCTCATACGCGGCGACGAGCTCTTGAGAGTTGCAACCTAGTGAATTATTTCAATAGCGAACTTGGTCAAATTTACAAAAAAACTACTGGCCTTATCATTTCACTACCTTTCCCCACTTTTGACTTTTCAAGCTTCCGACTCGGCTGCCAGGTGGCGAGGCGCCACTAAAAAGTCGTGCCCGCAAGAGAAAAGGTCGAGTTTAGAGTACTAGTATAAGTGCCTTTTGACCTAAATCAATCAGCTTTTGACTGTTGGACTTGTTGCAAGTGAGAATAGAAAAGTGATTGGACTTTTGTCTACTCAACTTTTGACTGTTTGACTTATTACAAGTGAGAATAGAAAAGTGATTGGACTTTTGTCTACTTGACTTTTGACTGTTTAATTTTCACAAGTTGAAACAGAAAAGTGAGTGAACTCTTTTCATCCCACTTTTGACTGTTTGACTATACCAAAGTCAAAACAGAAAAGTGGCTGGACTCTAGCTCGAGTCTTTTTTTCTCCACCGATTGTCTCGGCCCAAGAAGGGGAATCGATCACGGCGCCAATCCAAAAGCAAAAGAGGGAGGTCGTACCTACGCAAGGACCACCATCTCGTGTCGGGCGTTATGAAACAACTCTGCATCGTACAGGCCGTGCCTGCCAACGAAAACCTCGTCAAGAGTCGTCCACGGGCCATTGAACGGGTCAAGAGTTTTTGTCACCGCTAGGTTTTCCCGCCAGGGTCAACCTACACCAACAGCTCGTGCAAGTCTCTGCGCACTTGGCCTTATCTACCTTTTCCAGTGCCTTGCCCACATCAGTGGCAGAGAACTATTGCACGAAGAGAGGCCAACGCAGATCCTGAGCCCGTGGCCGTTCTTACGACCGCGCCTCTACCACTCCAACTCACGACATCTCCTAACCTCACTCATCCGACCGTCACTGAGCCACTGTCATCTAACGAGAGAACGTGTCAGAGGCAACACCAACTGACCAAGGTCAAGGTACCTTCGGTCCGGCCGTCACAGTGGGAAGTATCGGTCTCTAAGAAACCGGTCCAAAACGCGCCACCACGCCCAGCCAACGCTCTCGTGGATTACGTCGCCTCTCATCCACGAAACTACCAACTATGGGTAAAACGGAAGTCTACGGATAGATCCTTATATCCATACGGAAGTCTACGGACAAAACGGAAGTCTACGGATAGACCCTCATACCCATACGGAAGTATACGGGTAAGAACAGCCTTCGTTGGTTTAGTGGGTGAAGGCGTTGGGCCATCTATCTGCTAAACCAACGCTGTGCTGAGGGAGCGGGTTCGATCCCCACTGAGGGAAATTTCATTCGTGATTTTTCGCTCGGTGAGATCGAGCCCGAGCCCGAAGTGGTTCGGATTCCACTATAAACTGTAGGTCCACGGCTGTAGGCAGCCTCCTGGAGGGTGAAATATCCCCCAATCATCCTGCGGCCCAAGTTGAGAAGAATTCCCGCAAGATGGAGCCCGAAAGCCAGAACTCCTAGTGCTGATGTTGCCCAAAGGAGTGCATCATTCAGGAGGAAAAGCGCTGACACAAGGAAGAGCACCGACCCCTCGGCTCCAAGTTTGAATCCTTAGGGATGGAGCCCGATATCAGAACTTCTAGTGCTGGCGCTGACCGGCGGAGTTTACACTCATCATGGAGGAAGCCAAAAAAAGCGAGAGGTGCTCGCAAGAAGCGGAGATGCTGGACGGTGTCGGGCGTGGGACCGGGTCCTCTCTCGCAAGGACGGCACTAGTCCACCTTACGGCGAAGTTCTGACGAACGTACCGAAGAAGAAACATCAGCACAAGGGAGAGCACCGACAAAGACGGCTCCGGAAGGCGGGAATGACGCTGGATGAGAGCTCCGCGGGGCGAGCGGGGGATCACCAACGAGTTGACACGGTTCCTGAACCCCTGATCACCGTGCCTTGGCGTGCGGTGGATGGGGGATGTAGGGAAATGACCAAACACATCGATGCAGCAGCACTGCTAAAAGGCACCCACCGAAGTAATGTCTAACGATGGTTCCGGTGGGAATCATGCCGGAGTTCGGAAGGGCCANAAAAAAAAAAAAAAAAAAACGTATACGGGTAAAACGGAAGTCTACGGGTAGTCTTTCATACCCTGTACGGAATTTAACGGGCAAGTTGAAAAGCTCAGAGCTTTTTACAGAATAATACAGGCAATCATCTTTGCATTTTTCAAGATTATCTTTAAGATAAACGGAAGAAAACGGAAAACGGAATATTTCCCTCAAATTTTCGTTTTTTGGCCTTCCGTTTTTACACGGCCTGGGTGTGAATAGGCGTGGGGTACTGCGCGCCGAAACAGCTGCCGCGCAGGCCGAAAAGTCGCGTTCTTACACGTTCGTCGCTGTATTTCACTAAGAAATAATCAATACCACTCTTTGAAAACTTGCATATGGATAGGAAATTTCGTCAGCTTTCGATTGAGACTAGTTAGAAAAATCTTAAAAATGCCCTTTTTGAGATGTTTGACTTTGAAGGTTTTCCGGCTATTTTCTGGAGGAAAATGGAAAATTTTTGGAAATTTGACCTAACCATCGGAAAGCTGAGGTAATTTCCAATCGAAATCATGTGGCTCATATTTTTTCTAGGTGCATTTAGATGCTTTTCTGACGAGTTACAAATTGAGCAATTTGGCTTAATCAGGCCGCTCGCGCGCACCGTTGGAGACTTGACGTGAAATGCCCCATATGTTAATTCTACACCAGATTGACCAAAAAAAA